ACAGACTGCAAACATTAGGACAGAGAATTCTGCTAATGCCAGATCGCCTTTTCTGTAAAGAAATGCAGAATTTAAGAGTGCTCTACATACAAGCGTTGTCCAGAGACAAATGAAAGAGAAATACAAGCCACAGAGGCCTTGAAATAATATGTCCACTGCTTTTTTATAGAACCTGGCTCCACTCATTCTCTCTCCTTCAGCTCAAATCCTGTGGGTTATTCACTTGGATTTTGACAACAGAATACACAATAGCTAGTAACGAATGAAATTCAAGCTCAGATACAGTCATCTATCTTAATTAAGAAATTTTAATTCCCCCAAAATTCTTTTCATTGTTCCTCTCTCCAGTACTGCCTAAGAAAATACGTATTTCTGGATATAAGTGCATTTTTGACATGCATGCAAAATATTAAGCCTTTTTTTTTTTCTCCTTTGGCCCCAAGAGCTGGGATGAAATCACATGATTTCATCATTCTGAATCCATGTGGCTCCTCACAGATAGGGCCAGATGTAACCGGAAGGATTTATAGGGTGTAAAATTCAGAATGGATTAGGAAAGCATTTCTGTGTTTTAGCCCAATACCTCCTAAATCAACATCCCTGGAATGGACCAGAGCAATCTCTGGCCTAGTGGGGAGGTTGTCATGGCAACTGTCGGGCAAGCTCAGCTCGTGGAATGTGAATGCAAACAATAGAGTGATAAGATTGGGTATAGAGCAGCTCCTAAGGCTGCTTCTGCCCAGGTACAGTGACACATCAGGAGAAGCATGCATCTGTCACTGACTTTTTTGTACCTTCTTGCACTTGTGGCAGTTCATTTGAAATCTATCGTTGTCCTTTTCCAGATGTTGATTAAAAACATTGCTGCTGACAGATAACAGAAGCTATGGCAAACTCAGCACCGGTAGCTAGATGCAATGGTATATACAAAGCCCTGGAGGACTGTTAGGCTAATACCACTCAAAAATTTCTTTAAGGAGGCTGAAGCACACTTAAGGTAAATCCAGTGATTCTTTAGTGCCATCTTGTGTCCAGTTAGTGTCCAGCTAAATACTGGAAATTTACCAGAGGCTTACCTGCAAACACTTCCCGAGGCAGCAGTAGGACAGACAGGGAAAAAGCTGGAGCTGGATTATGCTGGAGTTCAGGAGCATAATGATTTTGGTACAACCTGAAATAGACAGAAAACAAAAAAAACGCTAAGTAACACTAGTCCTAGAAAAGACTGGAAGAGGCTACATGGTGAGCCAGGTCATGGGGGAAGAGATGGCAGAGACAGACTCGTAATTATTAACTCCTGCCAAGGTTGTTTTTTTGTTTGTTTGTTTTTGTTTTTTGTCTAAAGAGAGTAAGATGGGACTGTCAGTAATTCTACTTTATAGCTCTCATTCTTGATTAATGGCTCACAAGATAGTAGCCTTTGTCCAAATGGCATCTCATGCCTGCCTCTCATTTCTCACCCAAACCAAATCCACCAGCCACTACTGCCCCACCGTCACTGAGTCCCATTTAATTTCAGCAACAGTATGAAATAACTGAGCTGTGTTTCCCTATGTTTCTTCCAGGTTTTGAGTTTTTTGAAACAAGTGCCAAGGATAACATTAACGTCAAGCAGACATTTGAGCGCCTCGTGGATATCATCTGCGACAAAATGTCAGAGAGTTTGGAGACTGACCCAGCCCTCACTGCGGCGAAGCAGAACACGAGACTCAAGGACACCCCGCCTCCACCGCAGCCCAGCTGTGGCTGTTAATGTCCCCACACAGGCAGCTCCGGAGGGTTGGTTGCTAAAAACAGCATTTATAAATGGTCGATTAGCCTTCACTTATACTGCCTAATAATTATTGGAGGGAAATCGTTGATGTCAGTGGCTCGTACATGCATTCAATTCTGGGGAGATTTCCTCTGTTAATATGTGGCAAATATGTGATCTTAAATTTGTAAGGACTATCCATTTACAAACATCTGGTATTTGCATGTGATTTGTTACCTGTCTTCTAGGCTCTTTGTGTTTCAGATTTCTTAGATTAAGCGACTGCTGGGACCTCCAATTATAATTTCAGTGCAACTGACTTCTGTGCCATGGGTTCAAATTCTGCTTTTCACCTGTAGGGATGAGAACCAAGGAATTGGTTGTGTGTGTGGTATGGGCTGGGGGAGATCTCAGAGAACTTATTTGCTGTATTCTTAATTGAAAATCAAGTGGAAATTTTATTTATGACTAGGGATACTGTCATGGCTCTGGTCAGTCTACAGTTCAGGAAATAAATCTACTTTTCAGTGTTATTAAGAAGACCATTGACTATAAAGAAATGGAAATGTTGTTTAATGCCCTTGCAAATTTCCTGAGAGATTAATATTTACCTGACTAGAAGTGAATAGTCATCTTAGTTTAGATGCTTAAGGAAGGAATTCCTAACCCAGGACTGCTCCTCCCAACTTTTTGCAAATCTGAGGGCTCTGATGGACTGAGGTATCTGCTGAATGTGTTATATGACAAGCATCTGAACCAAGAATTTCCAAAGCCTGACCTCCCCCCATAACAAAGCCCCCCCAACAACTTTCTAGAACCATCACCAACTCTTGGAACAGAGGTCAAGCTGAAGCCCCTCTTCCCATAGGATGTAGACTTACTTCACAGACCACTGCCTTCTGCTCACACCTCCCTAGGTTATTCCTAGTTACAAGTTATTTAAACAGTATCTTGATGGTTCTCAGGTTGAGGAAAAAATAATTTTCATCTCTAATATTTTTCAGTCCAAGTGTTTATACTTTTTAAGACATATCTGCATTCTGTAAGGCTATTAATGTTAAACATGCTTAAATTACTCAGAATACTCTTTGGAGCTGAGAGTTCCAGAAATACTTTAAGACACCATAAGCAATTGGAGAGGAAAAAGGAAACCATAGGAACACTCAGATTTCCTGAAGACCATTTGAATAACAAGCAAACCAATCCCATCAGGAAACATGGCATCCACACCACTAGTCAGCACCGTTGACAGCTAGGACTCTCAGGAGGTAGCAGACACGGATGGCAGATTTGGAAGAACAGTTTTAAGAGGTCAACTTTCCCCTTTTTTGGTGATCATGATAAAGATTTTTTTCTCTTTTCAAAAACAGATACTTCCTATGAAAGAATGGAGTCTAAGTTTATTGAACAAGGCTATTGAGAGAGAAAGATGCATATAACCAAAGTGGTCTTTGGAGGATAAATGCCTGCAAGTCAGGGAACTAGGTCACATACATGATTAGTAAGTTAGAAGATGAACAGTAGAGGAGAGAGTATGTGGGGTATCTCAAGCATACCCACATTCTTACTTCTCATCTTCTTAGTTTGTGATCCACTAATTGGCAATAAATTTTCACTTTGGCACTCTGCAAGACAGGCTTCGTGAAGACAAGAAAACATTAATGCTTTATTAGATTTTAATGGGGCAACCAGCTTCCAAAAGTCACAGAAATTAAGTGAAGGGAAAGAGAGAAGTTGGGGGCTGTGCAAAGCAGAAGCCTGTTTGCATGATATTGTAGTATTTCTGTATCTTAGACTAGAAAGTGGCCATGTTAAAAGATAGTTGTTAAGCTAACTTTTATAATCTAATATGAAGTAATAAAGTCAGGAAGACCTTCCCCTCCTCTCTCAGCCCCAATCTCACATACATACATACAGATGTCAAGGACCTAAGTGCGATGTTTCAGATGGCTTCTTCAGAAGGACCTTGATTGGTGCAGTATCGTAAAATGGAAAGCAAAATGAGAGAGAGTAGAAAAGTGGGAAGAGTTGAGTTTACCCTCTTGTAAACTCCTCCCCTGAAGAACTCATTGCTATTGAAATTAATCGGCCCTAGAACCAGAAGACCAAAGCCCGGTGCCCACTTACACCATGTCAGACACACCCAAGTTGAACCACGTGGTGCCGGTCAGAGGAGCATGATACAGCAACAGCCCAGGTGTCATTGCCAAGAACATTCGATAATTTCTACTTTACAAACCTCACTGGAAGTGAAGCCTACCTAATTGATGCTAAGTTCTGAAGCTCGCACCCTGGTGTGAATTTCACTAAGTGAGACGTTTCCAGAAAGGATTGTCACAGAGCTCAAGTGAATTAAGCACCTGTACTCCTGCTGTCAAACACATGGAAAGAGAGAAAATCCTCTATTTCTAATCTCATCAAGAGATCCTTGTTTTAACGTCAAATTTGGCAAAAGAGGAGGCAGCCCAGGGTTAACTAAGCAAACTTGTATTGGCATCAAGCTCTATCACTTGTAAATTATAACATGGCCGCGCCAAGGTTTTTCTGCCTTTTGGTCAGCATGCACACAGTACCTCCTACATTCTCTCCATCTGCCAACAGCTTAAATAACCCAGACCATTTATACTAATGGCTTAACTAAATTTGTATTCAAAAGAACAAGACACCTTACAAAGTATGTGCTCGTGTTAGTTTATAAATTGTAGACATCCACCTTTTTTGTCTTTGATGCAACTGAATTAACTGTTTCACGTCTGAACTTCTCTTATCTGCCACCCACTTCCTCACCACCCGAACCCTCCAATTACTTTTAGAAACAAACCTTGCTTGTTTTGAGCAGATACTTCCAAGAGCTTTGGTTTGGGGGCCTTCCTTTCTATTCTTAAGTAAATAAAAGCTTGGACTGGAAATTGTTTCCTCTAAACAGCCATCTGTGGAGTGGATCCTCATTTCAGCTTTTGGGGATGTGAGTGGAGGTAGTAGGTACATGAAGTTCCTTAAGTTTTAAGATGGCAATTTACAATTTAGCATTATATTCATGGCTTCTAAGAAGAATTGCTTTCAGACAGTGAATTAGTTCATTGCCACTGCCCCCACAGAACAGCTTCCACTGCCTTGATAAACTTTTAACCTCCTCCTTAGACCCACTTAAAATCAGTATCCCTTTGCTGCCTGGTAAATAAGTGCTAAGATTTTTATTTGGAAAGGGATCTATGATGATGCCTTGGGTTATAGCAGAAAGCTGCAGCATTGTTTGTTTAATGTGAACTATAAATTCTACAAAACTACACCCCACATCATATGACGTCTATATACTCAACAAATAAATCTATTTCACCTACTTAACTCGTATCCAGATTAATCATAGTTCTTTTGCTTAGCTCATCAGTTACTTTTTGGAAACCAATTTAAACTTCCAATTTTACCTACATCTATGCTGAGAATAGACTTTCAGGGATGCAATATTCTTTTTGAATAGTAAAATACAGTTTACTAGTAACTGAACTTCCATGAAGCAACATTGCTTTTTGGAGCGTGATAGTCATCAGTGGCTCATTGTAACGTGCTTTTATCCAACGTGTCTCTTCGTGCATGGCGAGGATGTACAATGCCATCTTTCAGTCAACCATGGGGCATATGTGGGACTACATTAAGAACATATCCAGATTCTACCAAGTTATCCCACGGCTGAAGTAGCAGCTGCATGTGAAAAACTAAAACTAATCTTAAAATCATGATTAAAAACCTTCTTGGCCAAAAAGGGTTTAATAATTTTCATATACTACTGTAATGCTCCATCAGGAGTTTTTGGTGCAGCTTCCTTGGGAGGTAGCCTGTCTTTCTGTCTGAAGAATCTCCTCTCTCTCTAAAGCCTAGATCGCATGCCTGGGAACTGGAAGTCTTTGTCCCTTGGTGTGTCTACTCACTCAGTGCGCTGTGGCAGGGTGCCATGTGAGCAACTAGACCCATGTGGCTTTTCTAATCACCCCCTGGGAGATGCAGCCTCTGCGGCTCTGTGTGGCTTGAATGTGCGCTACCTGTGCTTTAGTGGCCTGACCGTAAAATGCTGAAGTCCTTCTGATGAGCTGAACCATTAGGGTCGGCTTTTTAGAATCCTTATAGGTAAATTTTTGCTCAAAGCCAGTTAAAGTCATAAACCTATTTTATATTCTGAAATTGGAACAAACTGGGCAAAAGATGAAATTTATAACCAGAAAAAAAGCCTCTCTGTTATCTCTGCAGTGTATGTAAAGGGCTCTGGGTCCTAAAAATATAATATTCCTAAGGGGGCAAATACAGGTCTGGAGAATTTATTTTAAATATATCTACCTATTGTTATTTCACAAATAAAGGTGTTTACCTTTACAGAAATGCTTGACACGCAGTCAAATATTTCCCTTCAGTAGATTAAAAGATTTACACTCACCCACAGTGTTGCCGCTCCCAGCACAGACTCAGTGTGTATCAAAGACAAATACCTTTTCTATGAAGGGAAATGTCCACATATGGTGCTTTCTCAGTGCTAGAGAAAAGGGAGCTTTTACTACACTCCAACTGTAACTGGCATTTGCTTAAGAAGGTCTACAAAACAGATTCCTCACACTGATTTGATTTGTGTATCTGTTCACATAACTAATTCCCATTAAAAAGAGAGGATAGAGAGAATATATTTTGCAGATGTTCCAGAGAAAAGAAATTATTTCCAAGCCTCTGTCAGAGCTTGAGTATTAAGGGCAGATCAACTGGCTAGTGGGCCCACGGGGCTTTCTATTTACAGCTCTCTTTTCTGCGTCTTGATTTTTGATCATTTCACTCTTTAAAGCACTATCCTCACAGAATGACAGGACCCAGAATAGGAAATGAGACTCAAGTTTCACCATTTACCTCCCACCAGCACTGTTCTTGGTAGAGTTTCAACCAGCCCTTACTACTGACATGAGGTGGGGGGAAGGCGGTTACCTGTGTGTTTCATTCACCTGTGTTCATACTTCCTCGTGGACAACTGAGAGTTGGCTGTGGCTTTATTCCTTAGTGGAAATGTTTCATATTCATGTTGTTTGGGGCTGGAGGTTGCTTAGGCTCATGAATGCTGTTCTTAAAGACTCAGATGGTACATGAGCCGCAGACACCTGGCCTTTCAGGGACGTGAGGGTAACTTACATCTGTCTAGTGGTTCCGTACGCCTCAGAAGAGTGAAGTCTGGGGGTTGTTTCCTGTAACAGTATGATGGTTCTCCATGCATTGTCTCATCACTCCTAGGATATGTCCTGAATGAAAACTTCCTGTAATTCCTGTTAATATATTGTTAATGTCAAGATGTGATGTGATACCGTTGAACTGTCCAAATGTACAA